TGGTGGTGGCATTGCTGAGTGTTTTGAGCATGGGGGTGGCCTCGGCGTAGAAGAGGGACATCCTGTTGGCCATCTCGTTGTTCACCTCGCTCTCCGCGTCCAGCTGGGGAGGGGAGTGATGGGGGGCCATTAGGGTGGTTAATCACCCCGAGTCACCCCCGGCCCTGTGAACCCCTGGGGAGGGCCATCCTTGGTCAGGGGTGGGGACAGCACCATCCTTTCACCTGCAGGTTGTTGATGCGATTCCGGCTGATGGTCCGTCTGTAGTAGCTGAAGTCGTTCTGGATGGCGGGGTTGGTCATCTGGGTGGGAAACCTGGGTGAGGGGCTACAGCAAACCTGGGGGGGGTCCCAAAGGGCCCCTGCTGGCTCACACCTTTTGCACGGTCCCAGTGTGGGGCCCCCCAGTTCTTGTCCTGCACAGGGAGGTACCTTGAGCTCGTCGAAGCTGAGGGTGAAGTGGAGGATCTCGGCAAACTGCTTGGCCAGGGCTTGCTCCCGCTCGAGGTGCTGGGTCGGGGCGTACGGGGGGCTGGTGAGGGCCTCCAGCAGGCTCCGCAGGGCGTTCTCTGGGGACAAAACACCTCTGGTCCCCTCCTGCCTCTCTGCACCTCCCCATTCCTCCCCCCCCTCCCCAAAACGGGGAAACGGAGGCACGGGGCAGCACAGCATCCAGAGCTGAGCACACTCCACTGCCAGGACTCCCGCAGCCTGTCACATTTCTGCTTCCAGGGCAGGATGTGGGATGCAAGGAGGGGATTGCAGGGAAGGGGGGAGTGGGGGTCAGGCACTCACCCAACCGCAAGGAGAACTCATAGAAGCGTTTCAGCTTAGCAACGAGAGGGCAGACGGCGCTCCAGGCCCGCTCCTGCAGCCGCAGGTCCCCGGGGTTTTGGATGGCCTGGAGGGGGGAGAGCGCCAGCGGTTGCCCCAGGCTGTGGCGGGTGGGTGGGCAGCGGGCGCCGGGGCTGCACCCACCTCTCGGATCTCCTGCCCTGCGCCCGTGTACGACTGCAGCTCGGCCAGGATGGTCTGTGCCTCCTCCAGCACTGCGTTCACCTGGTTCCACACCGCCGTCTCGGCCTCCGTCGGCTGCGCATCTGCAGGGCAGCGCCCCGGGGAGAGAAACCCGGAGGGCTCTGAGCGGGGCCCTGGGCGGCGAGAGCCAGAGTGGGGTGCCAGCACCCCATCCCACGGCTCTCCCGCCAGTCCACAGCCCTTCCTGGCGGGATTCTCCCCCTGATCCGTCTCCTTGCCCGAGCTCGAGTCAAGCCGTGGAGTGGGGGGCAGGTGGGGGTGAGTCCTGGCTGCCCTGTGACCGCGGTCCTGCTCATGGGGGTCCCTGAGCAGCCCTCGGCCCTGGGCTGGCCCCATCTGCCCCGGGGGAGAGGTGTGGAGTGACAGCCCCCGGCCATGGGTCTGCCCCCCCCTCCCCGGGGAGACCCCCGGACGGCAAAGGTGGGGGGAGGATGTCTGGGATAGGCTCAATGCGATGGGCGACGGGTACAAGAACTCAAAATGGTGTGGATGTGGAACTCAGGATAAGTACGAAACAAAAAAGGAAAATAAAAATCCCATCTCACTTTCAAAGTCAAGGAAAAAATTAGGGCCTTGGTCAAGTTCGTTATAAGTCAACACTTTTAGAAGGTTCCCCATGTGAAACCTGCAAGAGAAGAAACAAGAGGAAAAAAGCATGATGGTGAGGTGGAGCTCGGGGAAGAGGTGCTGGGCTGTGGGCAGAGGCGGTGGCCAGAGCCCCCGTCCTCCCCCCGCTGCTCCCCGGGGGCTCGGGGGGCTCCTGGACAGTCGGGGGGGGGGTGACCCCTCATCTGCTCCCGGCCCCGAGTGCAGCCTCTTCCCCCCCGCGATGGTGATGAGCGCTGGCGGATGGGGTGATGGAGAGGAAGGAGGGGAGGGAGGAGGGAGCGGTGAGCGAGTCCCTGAAGTCTTGGCTACAGGTGTTCCCCTCCTCCAGGTGCAGAGTCAGCCCTGGAACGGGGCGTCCTGGGGAGCCCCATGGGCTGTGGAGGGGACTGGAGGCAGGAGAAGGCTGTGCTGCCTCAAAGGAACCTGGAGGAGCCAGGAAGGCCTCTTGCCGTGGGAGTGGGTGGCTGTGTGACCCCAGCCCTGGATATTTTGGAGGTGCCTGTGCCTGAGGTGGGTGTGCACGGCCTCTCCCTGCTGGGGATGGAAATGGGGCAGGGGCTGGGGTGAGTGGCACTGTTTTTTCCCTCCTCACTCTTGCTCTGAGCTGTGCCCCGGAGGGATTGCAGGAGAGGGAGTCAGAGGGGCCCTGGGGCTGTGCCCGGTCTGGCATCCTGCCACAGTGGCCACCGTCTCCTGTACACCCCCGTGCCCAGCCTGGGACGTCCCAGAGCTGTGCTTTCCTGTCCCAGTCAGTCCCTGATCCCCATCACTCAGTTCAGGCTGTGACCACTGCACCAACCTTTCCAGCAGCGCAGCTGGATCTTTCCCTCCTCCTTACCCAGCCTCCAGGCTGTCCCTGCCGTGATGGTGGCAGGGGACATGCCACATGGCCACCAGTGCCATCAATTACAGCAGCAGGCAGGTGGCAGGTCCCTGAGGTCGTCCTGGGCCGGGTCCTGCTGCTGGGATGTATCCCATATCCTGCCACTCAGCCAGGATGTCTCCCTGCACTTCGAGGGATGTGGCATCTCCTGGGGTCTCGCTCCCCTGCCCCACTCAGCCCTTTGCAAGGCGAGTTTGGGGCTGCCCCAAGGCACCTGGGGACATGGGGCTGCTCGGGGACACGGTGCCTGTCCCCATCTTCCAGAGAGCAGCCACAACAGTGGCCCCGGCCCCCTCCCCGCCCCCACCCTGCTCATGGGACTTACTTTCAAAATCCAGGAAAAAATGAGGACAGTTTTCTAAATCTTTGCCCAATACCTTTATCAGGTTGCCCATGGCCAGCAGACCTGAGCGAGAGAAACAGAACAGAGTGGAACAGCACCGGCACCCCTGAGCCCCCACGGTGCCACCCACCAGGATCTGCACCCCGTGGCCCCCATCACTCTCCCTCCTGGCCGGGCACAGAGGTGTCAGCATCCACCAGAATGTGGCAGCTCGGCTCTCTCAGCATTTCTGCCAATTCCCAAGGGAAGTGGGATGTGAATCTGGGAGTGCTGTGCTCCCTGGGGCACCCCTGGCCATGCAGCCACCACTGACACACCCCAGTTCCCCCACCCCAGCACCCCATGCTCGCCTGAGGGTTGGGAGGCTGCCCCAGGTGACCCCCATGGGGTCATGCCTTTGCTGATGGGGCTAGGCATAGACAGGGGAAGATCCCAACTGGGAATTGTGCTCCATAGACTTGGTGTGGGGGTCTGGTGCCCCCGCTGGTGCATCCCACCCACCCCACGGCCGTGGTCTTGGGTCTTTACCTCAGTGCCCGGAGTGGCAGTGGTGGCTACGGCAGGAGCAGGGGCTGTGCCACCCCCTGAGTCACTGCATGGGCTGGCAGGGACCTGCAGGCAGGAGGGTGAGAGGGTCAGGGCACCCCACTGCCCTGGGGACCAACTGGTGGGTGACCAGGCTGGATCCCACCACCCACCTCACGCTGCCACCAGCCTCATTTACCTGGGTTATTTTTAAATTACCATTGGCAGCTCACCAGGCACTGAGCTGAGTATCCCTGTCCCTCTTCACTCCTTGGGGGACCTGCCAGCAGCCCGGGGACAACCCCAGGGCTGAGCCATCTGTCCCCATCTCTCCTTGGAGAGGCCAAGATCCCCGGGGATGACTTTCCCAGCTCCACTGGTTAGGTTTGCTCTTTTCTGCGTGTTGCATGAAGATCCCTTTATGCCTCTGATGAGCCACAACCCAAATCCTGCAGGCACCGGGATGCTCCCCCCGTTCCCTGTCTCCCACCTTTCCTACAGGGATGTGGGGAAGTCGGGATTGGCCCCATGGTGTTAGCGGGCTCCAGGAAGCAGTCACGGGTTCAGCAGATTGTAATTAAGCATTTGGGTTTAATTAATGAGGCAGGGGAAGGGGAGAGGGAGAGCCGGAGCAGCAGTGGAGAGGGAGGGGGTGGCCTCGTGGCTGGGATGGAGCTGTTGCCCCTCATCCCAGTGCTCCCTGCTCACCCCCAGCACAGCCCCTCAGCATCAGCAGTGATGGCTCTGCCTTCTTTCTCCTCCTCCTCCTCCAGACTCAGTAAGTGGTGGCTTTACGTCGAAGCTGCACCAGACTGACACTAAAATTCAGCTGCTTTTTGGGGGGAGCCAGAGCACCCGTGTCCCCCACTGCACGCCCCTGCCTCAGTTTCCCCCCCGCGTGGTGGGCGCTCGTACCCCGCGGTGGCACAAAGAGCTGCCCTGGCACCGTGACGCCGAGGTTCATCCTGCCGGCTGCTGGGGAGTTTTGGAGCGGTGCTGAGGGCGTCCCCGGGGTGCTGGGGCAGCCAGTGTGGGGGGAGATTGGCACCTGGTCTGCCCCAGCATCCTCACACACGCTGTGACGGGCGTGCGGGCGTCCTCGTGCCCTTGAAAGGGAGACTCGGGGCCGGGATTTGTCACTGCTGAACTCTGCCTGTGCCCAGGGAGGGGGCACGGACAGGGCCCTGCGCTCCCAGGTGTGAGGACACCCCCTCTGTGAGGCCAGAGCCGTGGCACTGAGGTTCGGTGCTGGGTGGGAGTTTGGGGATTGCTGCAGCCCCCCTGGGCTGGGGAGGAGGATCCTCTGGGGGCTCAGCCCCTGATTTGCACGATTTCCTCGGCCCCAGGTGCCCACATTCCCTGGTCACCCTCGGCCCAGGGAGCCTGGGGTACCACAGCACATCCCCCCAGGGCAGGGGGGCTGTCGGGGAGGGCGAGGGGCTCCCTCCAGTGCAGGCTGCTCGTTGCTGTGAGGCTGAACTGGGGGAACCGTGCACCCCAAATCCACTGGGAAAGACCCCCCCAAACCGGGAGCGATCACAGAGGAATGTGCTGCTGGAGGAGGGCTGGGAGCAGCAGGCTCCCTGTCCTCAGCCACACCCGAGGTGGCCCCGGGTTCTGTCGCTCCCTGCGGTGGCCTCATTGCACCCCAGCCCTGCTCTGGCACCTGCTCCTCTCCCCGAACGTCCTGCCCCACGGGGACCCCAGGGCAGGTGTCACCTCCATGGGGACATCCCAACCGATGGGGTGAACCTTCCCCCCACCCTGCTCCAGGCAGGGCCAAATCCTGCATCCAGGCGCATCCCTCCCCACCGCCGGCAGCACCCCGGTTGGCCACGCCGGAGGGGCGGCGATGCCCTCAGATCAAGTCCCTCCGTGTCACCGGGGGCCGTTTTTGGGCTGTGCCCCTTCGCCGCCGGCGCAGCATCGCTGTGGGCACCGCAGGTTGGTGCAGCGCCGCAGCCCCGGCCGGGGGCTGGCTGCCCCTTCCCCCTGACCTGGTCTCGCAGCCCCCCGCCCGCCGGGTGCCCCCCGGGTGCCCCCCACCACCGCCGAGCCCCTCCTGCCGCTGCCCCCCGCCCATGGCCGCGCCGGCATCGCCGCAGCCCTTGCAGGGTCGGACGAGCGGTGCCTGAAGGATTTTTCGTGGAGGGAGAGATACCTTATCCCGGGAAATCAGGGTGTTGATCCTAAATCCCATCCCAGGATCAACCAGGACACCCCCAGCCCTGCCCAGGGTGGTGCTGGGGCTTCTCAGCGCCGCGACCCCCCCCGGTTTGGGAATCTCCTTGGGCAGAGGGTGGTGTGAGCCCCCCGTGGGGCTGAGCCCCCCGAGTGGGGCCGGCGGGGTGCGGGGGGCTCCCCTCTGCCTGGCTGCGGCTGCGGATGAGCAGCAGGATTTACCGCAGGGCTGCCGGGAGCCGATCCGCAGCACTCAGCCGGCGCGGGCGAGCACCCACCCGTGCTCCCGCACCCACCCGGGGCCACCGCGGGGCTGCAGAATCCCCGGCGTGGCGAGCATCCACCGCATCTCCCCCCCGTCACCCACCTCATCACCCCCAGCCCTGGGATGCGTGCACCGGGTTAGGGGCGCAAAGGGAAAGAGGGGTCCCCGCGAGGGGCTGCTGGCGGTTTGGGTCCCTGAGCGGGGGGACAGCCAGCTCCTCGCCCCGCTCTCAGGCCTGGTGGCCTGTCCCCGTGCCCGTCCCCCGTGGCGGCCCGTGCTCACCGTGGCCGTGGGAGCCCGAGGCGCGGGCGGGCGGTGGCGGCTGCCGGGGAGTCTGCGGATGCTGCCGGATCGCGGGGTGCCGGGGACGAACCGCCCGCCGTGTGCGTGTGCCGCCCTGCGCCAGCTGCCGAATGCACCACAAAGACCACCATAGCCCCCCCGGCCCCCCCTCCACGCCACTGGTGACGGTGACGTCTCAAGTGTGAGGGAGACGGGGATGTTTAACCCTCTGCGTGCCGGCCGGGGAACCTCTGCGGCCTGACTGGGGGAGGGCTCCGGCTCCTGCTGGGGGGGGTGGGGAGGGGCTGCTCCCTGGTTTGGGGGGATATGGTGACACCGAGAGGGTGCCTGTGTGTCCCTCCACATCAGAGTCTGCCTGGCTCAGCTCCGAGAAGGGGGAGGGAAGTCCCAGATGTTCTTCTGTTCCTGAGCCAGCCCGTGGATGGCACTTCTTGCCCCCAGTCCCTTCTCCAGGGTGGAGGACCTCACCTGGTGGCATTCCCACCGGAACAAACCAAACCCATGCCCTGGGACCCCCGTTTGTCCAGGCAGCACCCTCTGTCTCCCCTGAACTGGGACCAGGAGTGGTTTGGATGGCATGAACCGGTACAGAGCTGTTCCCACAGGGCTCATGTGGGAGGTAGGAACCAGGTGGGGACCCCCAAAATTGGACTGGTTCTGCTTTTCCACCCTGCACTCCCCTTTTCCTGGGCCAGGGCTGAGCATTACAGTGGGGACATCAAGAGGCATCCCTAGTGTCGTGGGCACCCCAGGTCCAGCTTGCCCAGTGGCACACTGGTGTCGCCCAGGGACACGGGGTGGGTGACACTTCTGTGGGTGACATTGTGCAGCAAAGCACGGGTGGGTGCCCACCCTCAAGCACCCCAAGGCACCTGGCACCAAGGCTCAGCCCTGGATGCAGTGAGCAGGGAAGGGACCTGAGCTGGGGATGGTGAGGGACCAGGGAAAGGCAGAGGCTGCTGGTGAGGAAACCTGGCTCGAAGGGGAGGAGCAGCAGAAGAAACAAGCGAGAAATCCTGATTTTGGCCCTGGCTGTGTGGCTGCTGCCCAGGGTGTCACTAGAAAATGGGGGAGGTTGTGGGATTGCACTGGCTGTGACCATCATTCACTGGCCTCGAGGGACAGTGTCCATCCCTGTTCACATCCCTGCCCAGCTGACCCCACTCAGAGTGACGGGTCCTGCCCAGCACCGTGTGATGGTGACACTGATGGGAGTGGAGCACTGGGAGGTCACAGATGGGCTGGCTGAGCCACCAGTGCCCCAAGCACGGCTGGTGTCACAGCCGGGTGACCTGGCAGTGCAGCGGGATGAGGACTGTTGGAACTCTGGGTTAAGCAGATCCCAGCAGTCTGGGGGGGGAGAGGGGGGGCTGATCCGGCTGCAGCAGCCCCAGGCAGCTGCCCCACAGCCCTCCCCATCGGGCACAGCCCCCTCGGGCCGTGCTGGTGCAGCCCGTAGCCGCTGGGGGAAGCTGCAGCCCTTTGCATTCCACGGAGTCGCTGGATAAGGAGGTTTTTAGGAACCGGCAGGGCCCCGGCAGCTCTGCACCCCGGGGACCTCGAGGCTGGGAGCTGGGGGGGTACTGCAGAGAGCAAAGGGCTGTCACAGAGCCAGAGCTGCCTGCAGAGCCAGTGTCCACTCCCCAAACACCCTGCTGTCCACTCTGCAATCCCAGGGACAACGTCCCATTTGAGCCTGGGCTCATGTTAGGGTTTGGGGTGCCACAATCTGGGCTGAGCTGGGTGCTGTGATTGGGGCCACTGGTGTGTCCAGCCCCCAACATGCCCAGGCAGTTCCCCAGCACCACAGCTTACAGTGTCACAGCCCCAAAAATTGGGACACTCCCGTACCACACAGTCATCCTTACCCCCATCCCCAGGGCATCCCTGTCACCTGGCACTCCCCTGCCTCTTGGAGCCGTCCCATGTCCCTTAGGCAGCCCTGTCCCATGAGCTGAGCTGGGCCGGTCTCAGCCCTGGCAGCCGCGCTGCTTCAATTAAGCCCTCATTAATTTTTCAGTCCCCCTGCACTCCCCGAGCGAGAGCGGTTTGCAGAGCTGCTCTAATTGATGTCTTCTCGACTTCAGCACCTGAGAACTGGCAGCAGGTCTGGGGGGGCTTCATCCCCCCGAGCTCCTGGGGAGGCTCACAGAGAGGTTTTTGGGGCCGCACAGAGCCGTGTGCCCAGCAGAGTCTGGGGGGGTGACACAAAACCCACGAGGCTGAATCGCCCCATTCCAGGTGGGGTCCAACCCTGGGCACGGGCACAGTGCAGGAATGTCACGTCCAGCCATGGGGGTCCAGCCCTCCTGCCCCCAGGGTGGGGGGGGGGGATGGAGCCCTGCAGTCCCACTTCTCACACACAGCTGAAAATATTTGGGTTTTTTGTAACCCGGCCCTGTCTCGTCTCCAGCTGGGGCAGTCTCTGCTGCTTCATGCAGCCACCTCTGCAGAAACGGTGGGTGCACCTGAGAGCACGTGCCATGGAGAAGGTCTGAGCACCCCATGGCACCTCACAGCCCTGTGGGGATGGGATGGGGACCAGTCCTGGCTGGCTGGAGACTTCATTCGGGCTCAGTGGCCACCAGCTGCAGAGGGACAGCTGTGGACAGGCCCAGGTGGCACTGGGATCACAGCAGGATGCCAAGGTCACCGGGAGAAGCACTCAGCTATCTCCATGGAAACATCCCACGTTCGGTTGAGAAGATCAGAGTGGTTTTCTTGTCCCTTTCCCCTCTGTGCTTCAGCTGTGGCTCTGCCGACCAAGAAGCCACTCGTGTGTCCCCAGTGAAGGCAGCATGGGGACGTGTGCTGGGTGCCAACATCCCCTGGCATCCCACTGCCAGCATCCTCCCTGCATCCCAGTCCCAGCATCCCCTGGCATCCCACTGCCAGCATCCCCCCAGCATCCCACTGCCAGCATCCCTCCTGCATCCCGCTCCCAGCATCTCCCAGCATCTCCCAGCATCCCAGGACCGATTCCCCTCCCAGCATCCCTATACCCCCCCAGTATCCCACCTCGACCCCCCACCCCGCGGCCCCTCCCGGCTGATTGACAGCGCTCCCAGCCAATGGACCAACGCTGCCGCCGGCGGGGACGGGCGGCCCGAGGCTACAAGAGGGGCGGGCGCGGCGGGGGCTGAGCCGGCGGATGGACCGCGGCCCCTCCGGTACCGGCACCGGCTCCGAGCCTCGCCCGGCCCCGCCGAGCCGCCACCTGCCCGCGCCGCACGACAGGTAAGGGCTGTCGGGGCCGGAACCGGGGCTGGGTCCCGGTTCCCCGGTGCGGAGCTGCCGTCGGGGCAGGTACCGGGAGCTGCGCTGCTCCCGGGGCTCGGTTCCAGCGGGTGTCGGGGCTGGTGCCCCGGAGCCGCCTCCTCTCCGGGTGGGCAGAGCACCCCCGCGTCCCCATCCATCCCCCTGAGCCCCTTCCCTACTCCTTAGGGTGCCGGTCCAGGGGTGATGCTCTGTGCTGCCCGGGGTGCAGCCCTTGAGGGGGACACCTGTAGTAATCCCCCTCTGTCCTGTTTGGGGACCAGAAGCCACTGATCAGTGATGATGTTGGTGCTTTGGGGTGAGTGGTTTGTGCTAAGCGTGTGGTGGCCCTTCTGGCTGCTGTCCCCTGCCCTGGTGTGACTGGGTACTCCTTGGAAAATGGAATGGAGGACTGGGAACCAAAGGATGTTGCTCTGCAGTCCTGGCCACTCTGAGGGCTTTGCTTGCAGGGTAAGGTGTGGTGAGATGCTGCCTCCTCCTTCCAGTGTGACCGGTGGGAGGTGTGGGAGGACACGGGTATGGATCAGGGAAGGGATGGCCACAGTACCTAACTGGTCCCAGCAGCTTAGGACTGGACTGTGGTGCTGGGGGACACTCGTACAGCCCCCCAGCAGAGCTGGGATGGCTGGGGAAGCGTTGTGCTCCGTGGGAGTCTGGACATTCCCTCCGCTCCGGCTGCCGAGGGGTGCTGGGTTAGGCGCTGCCACGGCAGACAGTGACAGATGCTGGTGGGATGATGGGGCAGGAAGAAGCCACTGCCTGTGAAATTAGCTGGGAATGAGGCTGGCTGGGAGCACGAGGACCTCCACATCACTGCAGGGCTCATCCCAAGGGTAACCCCACGTCCCCCCAAGGCCCACACAGCTGGGACATCAGATGCTCCAAAGGAAGATGGTGCTTGGTTGGGCTCCAGGTGAACTTCTACTCAACTTTCTCCACGGAGAGAGAAGCTCCAGGAGCTCTCAGCAAACCATCTGCTGCTCAGGCTGAGCGGCGCTGGCAGCCAAGGCTGCGTGGGAGCGGGCACGGCGTGTATCGGAGCAGCTCCGCGTGCTGCCCACGCAGCCACGGGCTCCTGGCACTCCCTGCTGCTGGCAGCCCCCTGGCACAGGCGTGGGGGCCTGGCCAGACCCCATCCTCACCAAGGGCTGGCCAGGAGCAGGTTGTGCATCACTGTGAGTGATGCTGCGAGTCCCAAGGTTCAAGGGAGGATTTTATGTGCTGTAACGGCAGGCTCTTCGTTGTCCTGTCCTTGGAGAGGGACAAGTGAAGTGGAACTAGGAGATCTTTGAGGTCCCTTCCAACCCAAACCATTCTAGGATTCTATGACTGCGGCCTGCTAAAGGCCATGGGAAGAATTCTGGATCTTCTGTTGCTTTTTGGGTGGTTTTCTGCAGGCAAAAGGCGGCTGAGGAGATGGGAGGCTGCAGGTGACGCTGCTGGGTGCACTGGGGGGCTGCCCCAGGGCCAGCTCCTGCACATCTCCAGCAGCAAAGACCACAGCCAAGCATGCTCCCAAGGAGCACAGTCACTGTCCTGCACGGACACCCACCTGCCAGGTGGGTCAGCTCTAGCGTGGGGAAGAGGGATGTGGGACCAACCAGCTGCCAGGCTGGAGGAGGGCCCAGGAGGACCATCCCTCTCCGTGCCTGGTGTGTAGGAGTTGTGTGTTTTCCCTCCCAGGGGCAGCCATGGGCAAGCACAGCAGCAAGCTGGCCCCAGAGGTGCTGGATGACCTGGTGAGGAGCACGGAGTTCAGCGAGCAGGAGCTGAAGCAGTGGTACAAGGGCTTCCTCAAGGACTGTCCCACCGGCATCCTCAACCTGGAGGAGTTCCAGCAGCTCTACATCAAGGTGGGCTCCAGCTGGGAGTCCTAGTGCTGCCTGTGGGGCTGGAGCACCCGGCTCCTGCTGGGCAAGGGTGCTGCTTCGGGTGCAGCCTCTGTGCTGAGCTCCCCCCCCCTCCCCTCATTTCCATCTCTCTCCTCTCCTTCCCGCAGTTTTTCCCCTACGGAGACGCCTCCAAGTTTGCCCAGCACGCTTTCCGCACCTTCGACAAGAACGGGGACGGGACCATCGACTTCAGGGAGTTCATCTGTGCCCTGTCTGTCACCTCCAGGGGCACCTTTGAGCAGAAACTCAACTGGGCCTTTGAGATGTATGACCTGGATGGGGACGGGAAGATCACACGCTTAGAGATGCTGGAGATCATTGAGGTACCAGTGCTTAAAATCCATGGGGGTAGCTTGCTTTTTCCAGGCTTTTCACAGCTCTTGGGTCCCTTTTCACACCAAAGAATGAGTTTTCCTGCCCAGAGCCTTGTCTGAAAGGTACCAAATGTGCACCAGATTGTAACTGTGCAGCAGCATAGAACTCAGTCCCAACAGAGCAGAAATCCTGTGCCCCTTGCCCTTATCCTGGGACATCCTGCCCATCCAACATTCCCACACTGGTACTTTGCTTCTCTTCTTCCTCCAGGCCATTTACAGGATGGTGGGGACTGTGATCATGATGAGGATGAACCAAGATGGGCTGACACCCCAGCAGCGTGTGGACAAGATCTTCACGAAGATGGACAAGGACAAGGACGACCAGATCTCCCTGGAGGAGTTCAAGGAGGCCGCCAAGAGTGACCCCTCCATCGTCCTCCTCCTGCAGTGTGACATGCAGAAATAGAGCCCTGGGGCTCAGTACTGGACTGGCTGCAGCCAAACTCTGCTCCCTGTGGTGGTTTCAGTGTCCACGTTTTGCTGAGCCCCTCTGTGCCCGCTTGGCCCCAGGCATGAGCCACGCCCCATCCCTCCTGCTGCCCATCCACCTCTGCTCCAGCTGTGTCCTGGACAGCCCACATTCCACACCCTCGAAGGGTAGAGCCTGCTCTGGGTGTTGTCAGCTTGAGGTTACCCCAAATCAACCTTATCCCATCCTGGAGCTGGACTCCCTGCAGCCAGGGACAAGTTTCCTGGCTCCCCAGGGCTGACTGTTCCCACATCCCTGTTGCTTTCTCCCTGCTTTCTCCTACTGCTCTGATCCTAACTCTGTCCCCTCTCTGCTGCCCTCATGGCTTGTGATGTCTCCAGGGAGGCAGAAAAGTTCCAAGTCCTAGTCCTGGTCTCTCCTTTGCTGGTAATTCTCTGGAAGGGTGCCCAGAGGGGCCAGGGCTGGCCCCAGGGTGCTGAGGAGCTTGGGCAGGGTGCTGCACTGGCTTGAGCTTCTCCACCTCTGCTTTTCCTGCTGGGAACAGCCAGGGTTGGTCAGGGGACTTTAGGGGAGAACAGAAGTGTCCAAGGCCACCCTTGGATGGTGCCCATGTGTGATCCCAGCAGCCACCTTCCACCCCATCACCTGTGTGAGCTGGCAGAGCGAGTGAGTGACCTCCACAGCTGCCCAGGCAGCATCTCAGCTGTTTTGTGGCATTTCTGACCTTCCTTGATATTGAGGTGATGTCTGGGGTCCCAAATTGAAGGCAGGGGCTGCCTGACTCCTCCGTGGGCTGCCCTGGGGCAAGGTCAGGAGTTGAGGCACATTCAAGTGCTGCTCCTGGTGTGTGGTGCTGCTGTAGGGACTGGTGGCTCCTGGACTGGGGCTGTGGAGAGGTGTGGATGGCTCCTGCACCTGCTGAGCCTCCTGGCAAGGCTCTGAGACCACAAGAAACATGCCTGTCCCTCCTTCCTCTCCCATCCCAGCCTGCTGCATCCATCCCTCCTACCCCAGGCCAGGAATATTGTCACGGGTCGGTGTTTAGTCTGCACGTTGTGGTGTTGATGACTGCAATATCTGTTAGGAGATGGTGAAGTTGTCATCTATTTTTTTAATGGAAAAATAAACTGCCCCCTGTGTATGGTGTTCCCCCTGAGGGGCTTGTTGGGGGGCAGCTGCTGCAGCTGTGGGGAGGGTGAGGTCCTTTTCTCCATCCTCATTTTCCCTGTGCCTTGTTTCCTCTGGCCTTTCTTCTCCACCAGCAGCTTGCACAGACGGTGGCTGTTGCTAAGGAGCTCTCACCAAATTTTAATGCTTCTCTAATCAATCAGGCAGGGCTGGCTCCTGGGCAGCAGTGCTGACTCCCAGCTCACCCCATCCCACTTGGGGTGCTGCAAATCACCTGGTCTGTCCTGCAGCAGCCAGCACATGAGCAAGGAGATGGGAAGGTTCCAAAGGCAAAGCTGGGTGTGTATTTTTAGGAGCGCTGCTGAGGGGAGAGCTCTGCACCCCGGGTTTGGCTGCTGTGCTTTCCAGGAGTGTGCGTGTGTGTTCCCAGCTCAGCAGTGCTGGGGAAGGAGGGACAGGGCAGGTCCTGCTGTGTGGGGGCCTGGGGATGTGCCAGGGCTGCTGCCTGAAAGGGCAGCAACTCAAAAGCTTGAAGAGGGGACTCCAAGAATAGCCTCAGCGATCCCGGAGCTCTCCAAGCTCCCGCTTCCCTTGGGGCCACCGCAGAGGAAGTTTAGGTGTTTCCTCAGGAGGGACCTGAAACAGCCCTGGGGAAAGGAAGTCTTTGAGGCTGAAATGGTATCGAACACCCAAAGGGTTTGGGATCCCTGGAGCCAGCCCTGCTTACCAGCACCCAGCTGGCTCTACTCTCCTAGCTGAGCCTCAGTGTGAGTGAACTGGTGTTGGATCAATCTCATGAACAGGCTGTGGTCCACAGGGAGTGTTTTTCTTCAGCTGTAGCACAGGGCTTTGGGTGAAAAAAACCTGCTGCTGGGCTCTGTCCTGGGGCTCTGTGACCTTCTCCCAGGTGCTTGCCCTGGTGCAGGTGAGACAAGGTGGGATCCTCCATCGTATGCCCCTTCCTGGCTGATGGGTTTTGGTCTCTGGGGCTTCTGGGGGTCTGCTGATCGTGGTGTAGATTTTAGTCTGGGCTGAATGCCGGGCTGTATGTGCTGGTTTGTGTCCAGACTTGATGTCACCAGCACTCCTGGGAGTGGAGAGCCTTAATTAACACCTATGCTCGTTCCATTAATTAGTGCACGGCCCAGGTAACCCTGGCACAGGGCAGGGCCCCCCTACACCTTTGTCCTACCGTGCTGCCACCATCGTGGCTGCTCCAGCTCCCAGCTCTGACCACTCTCTTGCCCTTCCCGCTGCCCTGGCCTCGGTGCCACCCTGTGCTCTCCAAGGATGGCCAAGCCCTTGGCACGAGCAGGAGCTGGCGTCACCCGTGGGTGCCCCATCACATCCTGCTCCGTGTTCTCCCGGGGGGCTCTGTTGACGTCACCTTTGTCCCCAACCCCCTCCCCTCGCTCCCGGGGGCTCGCTGCCCCCAGGGGCTGGCTCTGCTTTGGAGCGAGGGCTCCCGGCTCAGTTCCCCGCAGCACCCCGGTATCACCGGGCGCCAGGGGAGGCGGCGGCGGCGAGGAGCGCTCGGTCCCGAAGAGGTTAATCCGTGTCCCGGTGGACTGAAACCCCGGAGCTTCATGGGATGCCTTATAAAGCACGTTCCGCCGGGCCGGCCCCGGCTCCCGGAGCTCCCGGGACTGGCGGAGCCGCCGCCGCGCACGGACCCGCCGGTGCCCCGGAGCCGCCGGTGTCCCGGAGCCGCCGCGCTATGGAGCCGCCGGGCCCCGCCGGGGCGCCGGGCCGGCCCTGGGATGAAGCCAAGGCTTTCTACGACAACCTCGCCCCCAAGAAGAAGCCCAAATCGGTGAGACCCCCCGAGGTGCCGAGCTGCGCTGCGCTCTCTGCTCCCCCCCACCTCCTCCCCACGCCGGGGGACGCAGCCCCTCTGGGTGCGCCCCTCCAAACCGCGTGTCCCATCCCCTCCGGGTGCCCCCAGGTCACTCCAGGGGCCCCATCTTCTACAGTTTCTCTGCGGTCCTCCTGGGTGCCTCATCTTCTCTGGGTTCTCCCTTGGAACCCCCCGGGTGTCTCTGGGTGCCCCATCTCCTCCAGGCTCTCTGGGGTCCCCCCGGGTTGTCTCTGTTTTTTCTTTGACACTCTGTCTCCTATCAGGTGTCTCTAGATGCCCCCACTCCTCCCTGGCATCCCTGGGTTACTCTTGGTTGTCTCTGGGTTCCTGCGGGTCCCTGTGGTGTTCCCGGGTCCCTGCTGGGCTGAGCTGTCCATGCAGGGTGGCTCCGTGTCCCATGAGCTGCCTGTCCCCTGCGCCAAGGCGGGAGGCCCTGCCAGGGACAGGAGGGGTGGCAGTGGCGGAGCAGGGGGACAGCCCGGGAGCTGAATCCCTGCCCAGAGCAGTGGGGTGTCACAGGGGTGCAACTGCCCCTGCCAGGCTTGGCTGCTCCGGGAGATTAGAGGGAAAGCCTGTGTTATCTAACCAGGGCTGAGCCAGCCTGGAGGTGCTGCCGTACCTCGGGGTAGCTGCGGGAGCTCTGTGTGACCTCTCCACGAGGGGAGACAGCCAAGCTCTCGCTCTGCAGACCCCAGTGTGGAGCAGCCCCTGTGCTCTCCCCACTGGGGACCTGACTGCACCTCCCTGTTGTGGACCCGCTGCCAGCTGGCATTGCTGTGCCCTTCCCAAAAGAAAGGGACAGCCCTGGCTTGGTGGTGGGATGCAGCTAGTTGTCTTTCATGCCATGCTTTCAGCCTGTGTGGATGTCAGTCCAGGCTCCTCCTCTTCCCCTCCTTGCAGCCAGCTCGGTGACCGCTGCACCCATCTGTGCTGTACGACTGAGGCACGGGGCAGGGACTGTGCTTTGCCTTCGTGGCAAACCAGCGCCAGGGCCGAGATCCAGGCACTCAGACCCTGAAGTCAGGCTGTGCCATCCCCCTGTGAGGGGCTGGGGACGATGCCCAGCCCTGTGCCCCTCTGTTGGGGCAGGCCGGGGGCCGTCACACACAGCTGGGCTGCCCCTGCCCTTCCTGGCATCTGTCAGCCCTGTGATGGATGGCTGCAGAGCTCTTTTCCACAGTGTAAATAGTGCTCTTGGAAAACTCAAAACCATCCCAGCCATCGGCCTGAACTTTAATCTGATCCCGAGCAGGGGGCTCGGAGTGCACACGGGAAGTGGAGTTGTCAGTCTGCGCCCTTGGAGGTGCCAGGTCTGTCCGTCCTCTTGGTGGAACAGGAGCAGGAACCTGTGGGAGAGCAAGTGTGAGCTGTGGGGGCTGCTCCCTCCTGGACGTGGGCTGTGAGGTGGCAGGAGCCAGGGGGATTTTGGGGAGCCCATTCCTGGCTGGGAAATGGGTTGGTTAACGGGGCATTCCCACTTTGCAGGGGTCTCTCAGCTCTTCCCACACTCTGGCTCCCGTGGCTGCTCCAGCCCCGCTCCTGCCAGCTGGGGAGGTCAGCAAAGAGATTTGTCACTCCTCAGCAATGCTGAAAATGTCCCCCAGCCTCTCTGGTGACGCTGAGTGGGGTTAATGGGAGCTGACCTTTTGGTTCCCTTCCTCTGAGCACCCTGCTTGTCCCCTGCACCCTTGGGGTCACCATGGTGCCTGATTTTTGGGATGCTGTAGCTGGAGTGGGGGTGATGCTTGATCCTGGAGCAAGCCCTTCTTCTGCCAAAGAAAGTGACCAAATTTCACTCCAAAATGCACTCCAAATGCTGAATTTGGTCTTCTGCAGCATCCAGAGAAGTACCCAGAGCTGGCAGGATTCCTCCAGGATTTTAGGACCCAGCAGATTCAGCCCCAGGCAGGGATCAAGGGGTGCAGAACGGGGTCCCCACTGCAGCTCCTACCAGTGGTGGCCTCTGGGGTGGCAGTGGAGCTGCTGGTGTTGGATGCCACTGTGGGCACCTGTGGCTCTTGTGGGTGGGAGGGCACAGTGCTGCTGCACATCCTGGGAGCCTGTGGGATTTCCAAATGTCTGTCTCTAATCCTTGGGGGGCTGCTTAGGATTTACATCTGATTAGAAGGGCTATTTAAAGGCCGCCAGCTGTTGGGTCTGCAGAGGGAAATGGGCTGTTTCCAGTCACTCCTGAAATACATCTTTGCCCCCAAATTGGGGGTTTGGGTCTGTGATGGCTTTTGCACTTGGTGGGTCTGGAGCATGTTGGAAAGGCCACTTAACGCTTCTGAGATGGGGCTTCGACTTTGGGGACCACCTGGAGCTGTGACAAGGGCTGATGTCCCTCTCCAAAGGGCTGGGCTGTTGGGACATGTCCCTGGTCATCCCTCCTGTTCGCCTGCCTGCAGGGATGGACCCAGGATTAGGATGGGACCTTCCCCCATGCTGCCCTGCTTGTACCTCTCTTAAACACATCATTAATCTCTTGCTCCCCCAGGATGGGGCTGGGTCTGACGTTCCCATGGGAAGGGAGAAGAGCTCACCACGAATCCCCAGGCAGCAGATTCAGTTGGATTCAGCTGAGCGGAGCCTGGACTTGTGTTGGATGATGAGCTTTAAGTGACCTTGGCTGACCTTGGATGTTGCTCCGAGGGGAAAACAGTTTGTGATTCAGAGTTCCCAAACCCCCAGGGGCTGGGGCACCAGGAGCAGCAGGCTGTGTTGGGATGGGGGCTGTGAGTCTAAATACATCCCAACCAGGAGTGTGAGCAGGACCCCTCCCATGCACATGCTTCTGTTACAAAAGGAGGGTGTTTGCCTTGAAACCTCATGGGTTTTGGGGGAAAAGCGGCATTTGTTGGGTTTTTCGCAGCACTCTGATGGAGGATTTGAGGTGCTGCGGTTCCTGGAGCGCTGAGGCTTTTTAAAGCCCATTTGTGAACGTTGTAATGGCCATCTGCAGTACTAGTGGGGAGGGAGAAGCATCCAAACAACCTTGAGGAGGGAACGCTTCCAAACGAAAGCTCCACTTCAAAGAAATGTCAAAATGCGGATCCCTCCTCGCGGAGCAGAATTGCCTTATTTTTTAAATGTCAGCGTTTCCCAGAGAACAGCAGGGCTGTTCCAGCCCAGCCGGAGCTGGGAGCTGCCTCAGCACCCGGCTGAGACTTTCCTGCACCTAAAGTGCTCTGAAGGTGCAAATCTTCCTTGGCAGGATCCGGCAGGTCCCATTCCCAAGGGCCAAGCTTCCTGCCCGCGGGCACCTGGGGCTCCAGCAGCCCACGCTGGGGCAGAGTCAGGCCCCAAGCTTATGGTTATTTTTATTGCTGTGTTTATTACCCCTTAAATTAACCTCCTGGAGGCTGGTGCCTTTAAGTGGCAGGGAAGGGACCTTGAGCAGCCTGTTGCTGTTGCGCAAGGGGCCCCCTCGGGGTGCAAGGGGTGTGTGTGTGTGTGTGGAGACAGAGATGGTAATTCCCTCTGGGCACCCAGCTTATGGCCCCAAACATCCTTCTCGCCCCCTTCCTTGCCTCTCAGCTGTTACATATGGGCTGCTGACCTATTTTCTCTCCTAGGGATCTTCCTCCAGGGCTGGTTCTGGAGGATGCTTTGCCCTGGACCAGGATCAGGGAGCAAACACCTGGCAGCTTTCCTACAGCACTGCAGGGAGTCGGGAGAAGGATGGAGAGGCAGGACTCCAGCTAATGGCCGGATGTCCCAAGACCTTTAGTGGTTATTAATATTTTCAGCTAATAAATGGCCCATGTCACCAGAGTTATTAATTAATGAGGTGAAGTGCCAAGACTTGGCCCGTGACCGGTTAATAGCTGACACCCCTTGGGGAGCTGAACATAATTGGAGACCTGGCTCTGGTTCACTTGGAGTGATGCTGGTGCCATGGATCAGCTCCTGCGTGGACCTGGGTGATCCTGCATGTCCTGGGGGTTGTTCCCCTCGCTTTCCTAAAGGGGCCACTTCCAGATGGGATCATATTTCTTTGCAAATGCTGCAGGAAAGGGATCCCTGCGGCCGTAGTGATGTTCTCAGCCTGAGCTAATCTGTGTCTCGTCCTAATCACCTGCTGCTTAATCGCTTTGCTGGGGATTTGGGGAATCTGGGGACCGAGGCAGGCTTGGAGAGGGGACTGACCATGCTGCAGGGCTGGCCCTGGGCCCTGCTTACAGGGGTGTTTGGTGCTGGGAATGGGATGGAGGCTCCCAGTGACTCACTCCTGGGTGTGCCTCATGCCAGGCTGGGGGCAGAGCGAGCCCCAGGGCAAGCCCAGCCCTGCAGGGAGTGAATCCCCGATGTGGATGGGGCACCTCATCCTTGCCAGGCTGCTGTTCCAAAGCTCAGCCCTAGGCAGGGTGGGAGCTTGAACTTTGGAGCACCTGGGCGTGCAGAGCAGCTGGCAGAGGCACCCTCCACCCTCTGGGCAAACGGCATTGCCGGAGGATTACTCATGGGGTAATGCCACAGAGGATCCTGCAGATCACAGAGGAGCGGTTTCTGCAGTGCTGACACCTGGATTTCACAGGCTCCCTGCAGAGATGCATCCCTGAGCTCCTGTCCTGCTCCCTGGACTCACTGCAGGCTCTGCTGAGGACGGGGCTCCCTGTGCCACTGTCCCTCTGCAGGATTTGCTGTCCTGGCAGTGAGCATTTCTCATTGGCCACCAGTGATTAACTTATTTTTGTGCTTGCAAGTGAGTGATGGGGATTAACACCTCCCTGCCCTCTAAGGGGAGAAGGACATCGGGGTGGGGGTCAAGATGAGATTGACTTTCCCAGTGTTCCCTCTCTCCCTGCCAAGCCCCACTGGAGGTGCCTCGTTGACTTCGGTGGATTTTGGATCAAGCCTTCGAACATTAATAATAATGACACATAAATCATCGCCTGCACCACCTGTTTGTCGTGTTTCCGCCCACAATAACTCCATCAAGTGTTTTTAGAAGCTGAGCTGGCGCGGGTTGTTTGTCACATCTGGACGGCATCACGGGATGCGGATCTGGCTGAGCCGCAGAGTGGTTTTTCCTGGCTGGGGAGGGGGGGTGGTGGGAAAAGCCACAAAAATCCCTTTCTGCATGAGGCTGAGTGGTTCTCCTGGGGTAGCCCGTTGGGCCTGAGAGCCTGTTTGCAGTGGGAACGGGACCACAGGTATCCCAAAGTTGCGGGGGCGGCGCGTCAGGCGCTCCATCTGCTGAAGCCTTGGGAGGTCAGGGTTGCAGCCGCCCCTTGTCCTCCAAATCACTATGGAGGTGTCACCTACCCCCTGGCCTTTCATGCTGGGAGCGAACAGATGCCCCCCTCACCCCGGGGAGCAGGGGCTGCCTGCCCAGCTTGTCCCTGTGCCCGCAGCCCAAGCCCGAGAACGCCATCACCATCGCCGTGTCCTCGCGGGCGCTGTTCCGCATGGAGGAGGAGCAGAAGATCTACAACGAGCAAGGGGTGGAGGCCTACGTGAAATACCAGCTGGACCACGAGAACGAGCCCTTCCTCCCCGGGGCTGCCTTTCCCTTTGTCAAGGTGAGCAGCCACCCACCCAAGGTGAATCGGCACTGTGGTCCTCACCCCAAAAATTCCTGGGAAAGGGGAGTGCTGTGGAATGCTTGCATGGGGTCGGGATGGGGATGAGCACTGTGGCAGAAGGGATGCAGCCACAGAGCAAACAGAGGTCAAATAAACCTCCTGGCAAGCGATGTGCTGCGTCCAGGGCTGAGCAAATGCTGGATTTTTGGCAACGGAGCCCAAGAACTGAAGAAATCGTCTCTTCGGATCATATTTAAAGTTTCCCTTTGGGGAATTCTCATAACTTTAAAAAAAATTATTATTATTACGATTTATTTATTCTTTTAGATTGGCAGAGTTTAGCCTTGCTGCAGAGTAAGCCAATTTCTAATTTTGACGTGTTGAAATGAGGCATTTCAAATGCGAAAAATATTTTCCAATTTCTTCCCCAGTTGCTCTGGATTTAGTGCAGCTTTGGGTGCTCACTGGAGCAATCTCTTGCCTGTTCCCAACGAATAAACTAATCCACTCGGTGGGGAGAGACTTGTTCTGTTTCTGATTGCTTGAAAAAAAACACTTATCTGTAACTCAGAGCTAATTTATTCTCCTTTCCTAAGCTCGAAACCTTTCATGTTTGAAAACAGAAGAGCAGCTCTGTGGGTTTTTCCCCCCTCAAAAATCAGCCTGTTTTTTCCCAGTTGACCCTGGCTTGGCTCAGGGTGTAGCTGGGGTTGGGCCAGAGCCTTGGTTTGGTGAACAGGAGTGTTTTGCTCGGTGGGAGGGGGGGTCAGGGTCACGCCTGGGGCTGGCTGACACTCCCCCCCTTCACCCTGGGGTGCTGCAGGCGCTGGAGGCGGTGAATACACAGCTGAGGGAGCTCTACCCTGACAGCGAGGAGCTCTTCGACATCGTCCTCATGACCAACAACCACGCCCAGGTTGGGGTTCGCTTGATCAACAGCATCAACCACTACGGTAAGCGGGGAGCGAAGGCGTCCTTTGCCTTTGCACTGAGAAAAGGAGATGTTTTCTCTCATCTCCTCCTGCCAACCACCCTCAGAGCCCGCTTCTCCCAGATTTCCTGGGTGGTGGGAGCGGGAGCTGGCTGGTGCTGAGGTGCTCTGGCTGCTGGCCCTGCTGTCGGGCAGCAGAGCCAAAATTAGCCCAGTCCTGCTGGCTCTGGGGATGCCACGGGGAGCAGCATGTCAAGGCTTGTTCAGGGGGCAGTCAGGCTCACCTTGGGGTCTGTCTGCCCTCAGATCTGTTCATCGAGAGGTTCTGCATGACGGGAGGGAACAGCCCCATCTGTTACCTCAAGGCCTATCACACCAACCTCTACCTCTCCTCCGACGCCGAGAAAGTGAGTGGGGCCATTGAAGAGGGTGAGTCTGGGGTCCAGCTTTGAGGGGGGGGCAGTGGGGGGAGCCTGGAGCCCTCAGGGGGTTGGTGCCAGCAGCAATAACTCCAATATCCATGTCCCTACGTTGACATGCAATTCAGGTTTGCCTCGTCCCACATCTTTGATGCTCCAAAGAGCCTCTAGTTTCCATAGAAATAAGCCTTTCCATGAGCTCCCCAGCTCTTCCAAGGCAAAGGCGCTGTTTTTCCTCATTAGTTCTCGTATGCAAAGGGTGATTTGTCATCTGGGGATTTGTTTTTTTGCTGTGAGAGGTCTTGGGGCCAAGCTGCAGGCGCTCCTGGGTGCATTTCCTTGCAGTGTTTGCTTCCAGCCCGCCGTGTTTTGTTCTGCTCCTCAGTGGACGCGCCACGAGGACGGATCCTTGGATAACTGCCACCTCTTGCCTCACGCTTTACCTCTGCAGGGATCGCTGCAGCCACCATCTTCAGCCCCAGCAGAGACCTGGAGGTGTCAGAGAAGCAGCTGCGGGTGGCGTTTGACGGGGACGCCGTGCTCTTCTCGGATGAGTCGGAGCAGATCGTGAAGGCTCATGGCTTGGACATGTTCTTCGAGCACGAAAAGGCTCACGAGAACAAGCCTCTGGCGCAGGTAGCGCTGGGATGAAGCCAGGAAAAGGCTCTGGGAGGCAGGCAGCCCTCAGGGATGCTCTCACCTCTGGGAGCAAGGCAGAGATGGGCATGTGGGGTGTGAGGCGGGGTGGGTCAGCAGCTGCTGGGGGTGGCTGCGGTGGGGCCCTTGCTGTGGTTTAGGGAGGAAGAAGGGTGGCATTCAGAGTGATGGTTTCTTCTTGCTTCATCAGGGACCCCTGAAGGGCTTCCTGGAGGCTCTGGGGAAGCTGCAGAAGAAGTTCTACTCCAAGGGGCTGAGGATGGAGTGTCCCATCCGCACGTACCTGGTCACCGCCAGGAGCGCGGCCAGCTCGGGCGCCCGGGCCCTAAAGACTCTGCGCAGCTGGGGCCTGGAGACGGACGAGGCTTTGTTCCTGGCTGGGGCTCCCAAGGGGCCCCTGCTGAGGAAGATCCGCCCCCACATCTTCTTCGACGACCAGATGTTCCACGTGGAGGGAGCCAAGGAGATGGGCACCGTGGCCGCCCACGTCCCCTACGGCGTCGCCCAGAAGCACAAGCGGCCGGCGCCGGAGAAGCAAACCCCCAACAGCAAATAGAGGAACTGGCTGGTCCCACAGCCCCTGGCATGGACCTCACCCCGTGTGCCACGCTCCCACCGGGGTCCTGGTCTGCAAGGCAGAGCGTTTGTCCCGGGGGGACGTGAGTTTGTTCCCCAAGGGGAGCCGCGTCGGGGGCATGGAGGGAGGAGGGGGCTGAAGAAACGCTTCCTTTCGCCTCTTTCAGTCGGGGATGTCGTGGTGGTGCCCCTGTCCCTCGTGGGGCTGGGGGCTCCTCTGTGCCAGGCGTCCCCCGAGCCGTTTCCCCAGCTCGTCCACGCGCTCTGCGCTTGCTTCAGGCAAAATCCCTCGAGGATGGATCTGCCTTGTGTGGACTCTTTGTGCCAGGCAGGTTTCACCTATTGGCGTTTATTTAAACCCCCAGGTAACTCCCAAAGGCTTTGACTTCCAGAGCAAATGTTTAGGCTGAGCTGGAAAGTGGGGAGCACCCGAAAACCTTTCTTGCAGCTTTGAAACAAAATGTCCCTTTTAACTAAAATTAAACCACAGTATTGTTCCTTCCCAGACTCAGCTTCTGCTCCCCAACCAGAAAACATTCAATATCTGCCCTTTCACCAAGATTTTGCCAGCTGAACAGCTTAAATTTGGAAAAAGAGAAACACATATTAAAATGAATAAATCTTGTTTCCTGCTTGGAGCTTTGGGCTAATGTATTGTTGGCCCAACTTTTTATTATTTGAGTTTCACACTTGCATGATTTAGCACTTGAAAATAATAATCTTGATGAGGCATCCAAAGCCCAGCTCATCCCTGAGCCGTCCAGGGGCTGCAGGCACATGCCCGGAGCTTGAATTAAGTTAAAAGCAGGCCCTGATATATTAGGGACATCATTTGAAGTCCATTTAGGTAAATCTGCAGAGAATTTCAGCCTGGGGATTTTAATTAAAGGATTTTTTTTTTCCCTTTCTAGGCTGAGCCCATGTGAGTTGATAATCTTTTTCTCCTCAGCTTCTTAAAACCTCTGGTGTTTCCTAAAATAGACACCTCTGCTAGTGATGCTGTGAGAGAACCAAATCTCTGATTAAAAAACAGGATGAGAAATCAATTGGAGAGAAACGGGTGTGAAAATCACACTGACATTTCTGCTCAAAGCCCTGTCCCAGAGGACACTCTCAGGAGGAAAATTTAAAGATTATTTCTTCCCTGTATTTTTTTGTACTACACCCCACAGTTGAGCAGGAAGGATGCTCAGTACTATCAGTTTGTACTTTCCTAAAAAACTCCATGGGCTGAAGTTTCCCAAGGTGTGTGTCTGCCTCTGGCTCTTTCCAGGGAAGTTTCAGCTCAAAGAGTGAGGCTGGAGCTTGAGTTATTGCACTTTTGAGGAATATATAAACAAGCTGGTGATGCCTTCAGTGGCTTGGCAGACTTTTCTCGTTGCACTAAATCCTGCTCTAGCAGTGAAGAGCAAATTGCACTTTCCCCCCCCCAAAAAAAAAAAAAATTGACAGACTGTTCTTTGTCACATCTGGGTGACAGACAAACACCTCAGAGGAAGGTTGTCTTTGTCACATCTGGGTGACAAACACCTCAGAGGAAGGTCTAAAATCCAAACAAACAAAGAAAAAGAAAAATCTTGAAAGACACGAGTATCTTGGTAATACATCCATTAATGTTCAGGTTTATAGAAAGGTCTCATCTTTTTAATGAGAACCCAAGATTTTGGGATCTGAGCTGGATCTTGGAGACCTTGCTGGCAGCTGGGAGGGCCAGGGGGAGCACAGCCTGGCCTCCCAGTAAACATCTCCAAGGTGTTTCCTGAAGATCTGCATTGTGGAAGCCCAGCCAAGCCCAGCTTGCGCTCGGGAGGGGATGTTCCAGGAGGAATGGAATTGTCAGCCAGCCCTTGGGAGCAGGGCAGGGTGCCAGTGGGATTGGATACAGGGTGCAAGCACGGCCACTGGGGTGGGTGGTTGCACTGGGTGCCGTGGGGAACACACGTGTTGGGTGATGCAGAGGCATCGTTGGTGTTGGCAGGGCTGGGCTGGCAGGAGGAGATGGATGTGCCCTGGCTGGAGGTGCTGTGAGCTCCAGGAAAGTAATTCCCTGTGATTTTGGGGCACAGCCCTGGATCCCAGCAGCTTTCCTGCTGCCTTCCCAGGGCCCTGAGATGCACAGGGAGCTGGGTGTGAGCTGAGGGCAGGGTTTTAGTGACTGTGCTGAGGGTCCTCCTGCTGCCAGGGCAGCTTGGAGGGCTCACTGGAGATGTGGGACTCAGGAAATGGGCCCAAGGCGAGGCAAACCTCCCTTCTCCCCTCTTGAGCCTTTCCTGAGTGGGGATTTCTGTTCCTGCAGCGGCTGCCCCATTTGCTTTTATTCACGTGGCTTCTTGCGGTTTTTTTTCTCCTCCATCACTACAACTGGAAGACATGGACTTTCCTTGTGTGCCTACCTGCGATGTCCCCTCGGGCTGGGGGTGTGATGAGGTCCCTGGTGCCCTCTCCATGGGCTGGGCACATCTCCCACCTGGATGGGCCAGTGCAGTCATGCTTCTTGTGCTGTCCTGGCTGGCAACTGGACTTTCCTGCTGTGTGTTGTTGCTGTGGGTTTCACTTCATCGTCCTCTGGTGGTTTTTTGTTTTTTTTTTTGCCATGTTAATGAAACTCCTCGGGGTGTTTTTCTGTAATAAACCATGTTGGTCCCAGCCTGGCTCTCTCAGTCGCTTTTCTCACCATGAGCATTTTGGCTGCCTGGGGTCCCTGCTTGGGGACCTCCCAGCTTTTAGGGTGGTGGAATTCAGAAAGGGGGTTAATTAAGGGAGTTCAGAAAACATAATTAAAGCACCTGCTTTGGAACTGGGAACCTCTGGGAGAGGTGGGATTCCAGAGGTGAGATGTGTGGTGATACAAACGCCTCCCTCTGCTTCGTGGATGGCTTTTGTGGGAACTTGGCCTCGTGGTGAAGCCCTGGATAAAAATACAGTTTGGCAGAAGACTTTTTGTCGACTTGATCTTCTCTCAGCCAACAGGTGGGAGGCAGCACAAGCTTAACAGAGGAGATTTATTGCTGCTGAAGTACCGGGTTTATCCGAGTAGCGACACTGCAGTTCTGGTGTTGGCTCCTCCCTGCCAGTAAGGGGAACAGATGGGTTAAGGGGAAGCAACAAATTCTCCATCCATCACCAAATATAGCCAAGGAATGTCCATAGGCCCCAGGGCAGCATCCCTGCTATGGGTGTTCATTTAAGGGATGGATGGCCCTCAGCAGAGAGTGTTTTGTTTGCTGGAATGCCTTCCCCCAGCCCATCCCCAGTCCTGCATGTTCTTCCACCAGATGCCTGGAGGAAAAGTCAAATTCCAGCACAGATTCCAGGCAGTGTTGGACCAGTGAAATTCCAGGTGGGTCCATCCAGTCCTGAGAGGTCAAGACGTCCACGCCAAGGCCAAGAGCTGCCTCTGATGCAACAACCATCCCTAACTCCCTTGACTCTGAGGGCTGACACTGGGGCCAGGGAGGGTCATGGAAGGACATGGGCCAAGGCCTTGTAGGGCTGGAAGGGGGAGGTTTGTGCAGGTGGGTCTGGGATGTTTTGTCACCGCTTTGCTGCAAGCCTGAGGTTTTGTTTCTGCTGCCTGTTTTCCCGAGCTTTTCCCTTTGCCAGCATTGAAGGGCTCTGCAGTGAGAGCGCTTTGAAATGGAGCCCATGGAGGAGGAGAAGCGGAGGCAGAGCTGATGGGGAATTATGCTGCCACTCAGCAATTGTCAGTGCAGATGTTCCCGAGGTAATCACAGCCTTGAATAGCAAGAAGTGCTTTTCATGACGAATCCGGGATTTAACCCCAAGAACTTGTGGGGTGCCTCAGTGAGGGTGGGACACGCCTGATGATGAGCTGCACGGCAGGGAGGTCGGGCAGAGGGTGGACTCTGCTCTCCTGGTCCTTCATGTGCATCAGGTAAGTCATGACACCTCCCTGCCTCAGTTTCCCCATCACCGTGACAGAGATCAGGAAGAATTATAAAATCACAGACTGGTTTGGGTTGGAAGAGACCTTAAAGCTCTTTCAGTTCCACCTCTCTGCCATGGGCAGGGATACCTTCCCTTATGCAAATACAGATCTGACCCTACAACTCCATGGTGTTGGCCATGAGGAGTCCCAGGTGGGAACTCCACTCACCCCTGCAGCCCAGTTAGTTTTACATCTTTCATGGGCTGTGGAATAGGCGCCAACAAACACAATCAGGGACCTGCAGCCATCCCAGGAGGCTAAAATATCAGGGCAGGGGACCTGGTGACAGGCTGACAGAAACACCCGGACTTGGAAGAGCAGATAAGAGGACCTGGCGGCGAGAGAACAAGCAAAGGGCACTTGCTATCAGTGCTAGCGGGGCCGTGCCAGGATTTGAACAGCCTGACCATCTCGTTCCTTCGACACCGCTATTTATAGCCCTGTCTGCTGATGCCTCTGTCACCGGTGCCTAAAATGGTTCCCCTGAGTGCAGGCAGGGCTGGGCTGGGCTCAGCCGCCCCGCGCTGCCGAGGCCACCGACCAAGCCGTGACTCAACGGGGCGGGTGTGAAGCCGCTTCACCACCCCGCGGACGGAGGAAACCGGTGCCTCCCGCTGCCAAGAGGCAGCTCCACGCTGGGCCAGCTCCTTGGAAGATGCACCAGACAGTTTCTGCTTCGGGCCTGGCCCCTCGCCAGAAGGAGTCAATGGGGTACAGAACCCCACCCTGCGCTTCTCTGCTGCCTTTCCCTCCCCGAACTGGGAATTGCCCAGCTCTGACTGGGAGCCACTGGTACCCACAGCTTGGTGTTGGTCCTTAAGGTAGCTGTGGGATAACTCCGTGGGGATAGCTCTGTGGGAATAGCTCCCACCCACACTGGTGGGAATAACCCTTTGGTTACTGGGCTGGAGCAGCACCAAGAGAGCAAAGACCTTGTAACCGCAGAGCAAATCCATCCAGCCCCATTCCCTGCCTGGAGATTCCCCTTTTAAAAAACTGCCTCGTTTTCCCAGTTCTGCCCAGACCAGTGAGCGATGGAGGCAGAGATCTCTCTGTCCTGGCATTTTCCCATTCCTGCAGTGAAGGTTCTGTTACCAGGGCTGCACTTCAAAGCTTTGCTGGCAGCACTCTGCCGGATAGGACTGTGCCATAATCCCCCAGGGAGGAGAGAAGGGGAGAGGAGGGGATGTCAGTACCTAAAGGGGCTCCAAGAGAGCTGGAGAGGGATTTTGGACAAGGGCATAGAGTGACAGGGCAAGGGGGGATACCTTTAAGCTGAATGAGGGCAGATTTAGATTGGATATTAGAAGAAATCCTTCCCCATAAAGGTAGTGAGGCCCTGGCACAGGTTGCCCAGAGAAGCTGCGGATGCCAGGGAGGATAAATGAAGGAAAATTCGCTCCGAATGCCCTGTGAGGGAAGCCTGGCTCTGCCAGCCCCTTGCAGCACTTGCTTTTGGGCTGCATCTGGTGGGAATTGGAGGGCGGATGGACACGGTTGCGTGAGCTGGAATTTACGCCCATCCTGGTGGGGATGTGCCTACCCCAGGGAACAGGGGGCCTGTTCCTGCTGCCACAGCTGTGGGGACTGGGAAGGGGATGGGGCCAGGGATGGGGAGAGGGACCAGCACGGTTGTGGTGCTGAGTGGGTGCCACGAGAGGGCGTGA